GCGCCTTTGGCGTTTAGTCCTGTCGGCCACATGACCATGGAGACATCTTTGGACAGCGCTGGCTCTTCGGCTTTGTAACAGAGATGAGCACTGCCCCCCTAGAGCCAGGAACAACTAGCACGTATGTGTGAGGGGAACCTGAGGAGAGCAAGGACTCAGATGAGGGGTCAGGACCATTAGGGAGTGGACTGCCGCCTTCAGAGATTGTTGGGGGCTGGCAGCAGCGATGAGGAGGTTCCCGAGGAGCTTGTGCCAAGTGCGTGTGCGCACAGGGTTGCTCGCAGGAAAGAGCAGCTGCAGCAGCACGGGTGACTCAGGAGTAAGGCTGCAAGGTAATGGCCCCTCCTTCAAGAAGATAAAAGGCAGCTGTGCAGCGAACGTTCTTTGCAGGAAGCAAAGACGTTTTGAAACTCAGCCTCGTGGACATTACAGTTGGTATTTGAAGACTCTTGTGTTGTAAACTATTTCTTATCTGTTGTTTATTGGCAAGTCTCACACAGTTTGGCAAGGCTTGTGCTTATCACAGCTAATTATTTTGCAGAAGCATTACAAGGTTTTTGTTCCTTTTGGATTGTGTTTGATTTGTCGGAAAAGGCTGTGGGTCAGAACAGGCATTCGACTGACCAGCCCAAAGAAGGGTTAAACAGACAATGGCGCGATAGGGTGACCTGCACAGACTTCCCAACTCTCCAAGCCCCTCCCCCCAATTATTTCCAGGACCCCGATCTCTTTCTCACCTGCCATCTTGCAGGCCGAGGCAGAGGGCAGGCTGAGATGGAAAGGACTGGTCAGCCGTGGTTGGAGACTCTTCCACTCGTTCCTCTTCGGCCCTTTCGGGGATGTACTCCAAGCAGAGGACCTGCGAGGCCACGGGGAAGGATCTGACCGTACGAGGCACCGACCGGTTCAGGGAAAATATCTCCACCTGGCCCCCGGCACCCTCCTGACCTCCTCCGACCTAGAAGAACCAAAAAGAGGGGGGGGGTCGTCTTTTACACTGGACTAAAATTTCATCACCTGGTTGACCAGGGCGGTTGAGTGAATCGTAAGGTCGTGAAGTGAATCCCAAGGCCGTTAGGTCAATCACAAGATCATGATGCGAATCACAAGTTTGTTAAGCAAATCACAGGTTTGTTAAGTGGATCGCTAGATTGCTAAGTGAATCACAAGGCTGTTATGTCAATCATAATATCATTAAGTGAATCACAAGGTTGTTAAGTGAATCACAAGGTTGTTAAGTGAATCATAAGGCTGTTATGTCAATCATAAGAT